TCCCCTTTACTTATTCAGCTGAAGATATTCAGTTAATGTTCCTATCGATAAAAATGGTAACTAAATAATCAAGTAATTTTTTTTATATCTAACAGCCTTATTTTAGTTTCTATGGTTGGCCAAAAATGTAGCAACGTTTGATAATAGGCCATTTTGAAGGACTCCTAACTCCAAACACACAATGATGAACTGAAGTCAGAAATGGCTTGTTAGAGTGGAAAATTGCAGTTTTTCAAACAAGGAAGATAGAAAATTTAAGTAAAAATGAAAATGACACTTCTGGTCTTCCATAAAAATTAAGTACTTATTATTTATATTTTTAAAAATCATTAAAATTGTTTAACATTTTTTTAATTTTAAATTAATTCATATACTGAGAAAACAATATATGACGTGACTACACTGTATATAATTATTTTTAAAAAATTAAATATTTTTGCATTTTTCTGAAAAACACATTAAAGAATTATGAACAAAAATCTTTTCCCTTACATAGTTTATTATTTACTAAAATTTGCATTATAATCTTGTTTACTATTTACTAGAATTACATAGCTTATTATTTACTAAAATTACATAGCTTATTATTTACTAAAATTACATAGTTTATTATTTACTAAAATTATGTAGTTTATTATTTACTAAAATTAGCATTATCATCATGTTTATTATTTACTAAAATTACATAGTTTACTATTTGCTAAAATTACATAGTTTATTATTTTCTTAAATTTACATAGTTTACTATTTGCTAAAATTAGCATTATCATCATGTTTATTAATTAATAAAATTACATAGTTTATTAATTACTAAAATTAGCATTATCGTCTTATTAATACATTCCAAAGGTTAATTTTTTAGCACATGCTCATATTGAAAAAGAAAGAATATTTAACGTTAGGTTAGTAACTAAACATTCAATTTGTTTTTCTAAAATAACCTTCGTGCTTGACAAAATGATTGCAAAGTTTGTTCATAGTTTTTCAGTGTTAATTGTAATACTTGGGAATCACTATAGTATTTAAAAATAAAATTTTATATCCTTTTGAGAAAGAATTCTAAACGTCTGTTATCATTTTAGACTTGGGTCGGATTATTTAAAAAATCTTTCAGCTTCAAACAGACGGGGAAGTTAAGAATTAGGAGAGACCTCCCAAGGAGAATAGCATAGAGCATCTTGTTATTGAAATACAACAATGAATTACTTGGCAAAATAGAAGAATCCTTCTTTCGTTTACCAAATGATTCGCTCTAATTTCTCATACACATTTCAATATTTAATTTGGGGCTGAAAATAATAGCAGAAAAAAACCTTAAACCTTTTCCTTCAAAAATGGTAAAAATTTACATATATTGTTATTCTGAACTAAATTATTACCCCACTTCGTAAAAGACACATATTAAAACAAAAACATCCCAGCTGATTAAGTTAAATTTCACAAATCAAGATTTAGCCAAAAAGCCAAATCTTAAAAATGTAATTAAACTATTTGAATTTCCATAACTGATATTTATTCGTACAAAAAGTACAAATTGTGGCACGGGGCCAATAAAGGGGAGGGGTAGAGGCTGGTCAACACTAACTATCTTATACCTAGCTAATCAGATTCGCGATCCATTCGTACATTACATTTTACTCATTCACCAAAAGAACTCGTCCATCACCAAACAAGCCTTCAACCACCATAATACCACGTGCTCTCAAGGGAGACCTACCAAAATCGCGCCCCATGCCATAAAAATTTTAATGATGATATATATATATATATACAATTCTAATAATGATAAAATGAGAAGGGAGGGAAATTAACCCAATAATAAACTTAAAATAAACACAAATACAAACTAAACATAATTGATGTTAGTAGGGACCGTCCAACCCATAAAACAGAGAGACCGCTGTATTCTGCCCAGGGGACAAAATCAAGAGATTCTCTCGCTAAGGGAGTGGGAAAAAGTATAAAATATAAGGCTGGAATGGGAAAATATAAAACTGACCCAGTCGAGATGAAAGGGGGCGGGGTCAAAACAAACTGGGGACGTTGGGAATCTCGACTTGGATCATAACCAAAGAACAGCCGGGATGCAGGCCAGGAACAACACTTACTCACATTAACTAGGTACACTGAAGCTTGACTAACCTAACCAAGGGGAGGGGTCCACAGGAAGCCACCCCGATGTGCAATAGGTTGGAATTTCCATAACTTCCAGCAGAGTAGAATTAAAAATGTTTAACGAGGTTAATATCTAAAAAGGTCAATGTATTTTTTATGATGACGTGTACTTTTTATGATGACGTGTATTTTTTATGATGACGTGTATTTTTTATGATGACGTGTACTTTTCACTGATTTCATATTAAAAGTCGACGTTACTTCTAGTTAACTTATTTATTGATTTGTTTTTTTAATGATTAAGGAAATTAACTATTGTAGAAAATGAGAATAAATTGTTTAAAATTGTGATTGTAATAAAATTATTTTTAAATTATCGAACGTATTGGAAATCATTTTACTATATAAATGTTTTGCCAAAAATTTATCCTAGAAATGCTAACCAAATTCCATGGTCTGTCTATATTTCTGAGATGAGGTATTATGTACATTATTTACATTATTCGGACTATTGTCCTCATCTTTGTCGCCATATTTATCACAACGTTTCGGCCGTTGTACGCTCCGGCCTTCTTCAGGTGGTTGGAATGTCGAACTGAACCCTTTATTTCGCTCACTGGGGTAGACTGTTCTAGTTCCACATGCCATGTCTAATGGATGTCAGTTATCAGTTATCGCCTGTTTCCTTCTGAAAGTTCTCCACTGCCTTAACCGGGTATTGAACTCACACTCTTTGGGTCCTGTCACTGGATCTAACCAACGCCTTTATCCACTGTGCCATGTGTCCTTGAGGAATTCCAACCACCTGAAGTAGGCCGGAGCGTACAACGGCCGAAACGTTGTGATAAATATGGCGACAAAGATGAGGACAATAGTCCGAATAATGTAAATAATGCAAATTCCATGGCATCAAAATACAAGTCAAATAGTCTTGTACAAAAAAATAACACTGAAAAATTTTCAAAAATTATTTTCTAAAAGAAACCTACAGAAAATGATTCTCTATAAAAACGAATCGTAAATGAGTTTCACAAGAAACAATTCGAAAATAACGTGATATGTAAATAGTTTCATTTAAGAATTGAAAAACTGAATCGACACAAAATGTCGGAGGACAAAATGCAAAAATCTTTGGAAATGGATTTGAAAGGATTGACAATATTCTTCTTTATTATGTGTCCTCTCACGACGTATGCGATCGTGGTTCTCCACAACTTCCTGTCCTTTGTAGCACTTAATAAACTATAAAATATTTATATACAGAACAAAGGTGTAACGTAGCTGTTATGATGTTAATTTGGGGTTAATAAAGACAAACGCCAAATAACATGTAACAATAAAATGGGGTTTATTCGGTTGGTAAGTTGGTACAGATATCGCCTGAGTAGTCTATAACTAACTCAGCCCAGAACTTCTCCGACACTGTCTTTTGACATGCCACTAGTTAACGTCCTTGTTTGTAGACGAGTTCATCTTCAAGAGGGGTGGTAGGTTCCTACACAACAGTAGCCCAGAAAAGGAGAGAAAAATCCATTCTTCAACAAAATACTAACTTTCTTCTATGAGTGAGAAAGTGACTAATAATATACTTCTTTGAGTAAATAGTAATGACATTAATGTACCAGTTTCTTACGGAAGTTCAGGTTGCCTTGTTTTTTGAACAATGATATTTTGTTGAATGGAGGTATATAATTACGGGATAGGCTTTGGGGGAGATATTATTTTTAACAGGACATAGTGAGGTGTGTTGTATGTACTATGGGAAAAATGAGACACGTGTTGTCATTATGGCATCTTGTTGTTAAAGAGAAAGACAAAAGAGAGAGAATATTTTGTTCCCTTTCCTTTATTACGGATTTATGCAATGTCACCAAGCAGACGTTAGGGAAAGTCGCCTTGTAGACAAAATGGGGTAACCCTACAAGGTCAAAGGATATTAGCAATTGCAAATAGATTTTTCTTATCGATTAAAAAATATCTTATTAATCTATCGCCTTTTTTTTCAGTTTTGAACTTTTCACTCTTATTCATTAATTGTTACACTAATCTTTTCTCAAAGATTCCTTTTGATAAAAAAAAAACAAAATAAAGAGAGACCAAAAGTGTTCCTTGGCAAAAGAAGCACGGTGGTGTTATGGATAGCGGCTCGCATTGAGGAATGGGAGTGCAGAGTTCGAACTCCAGTCGAATCCATTACATTCACTTACGTGCTAATACCCTTGGGAAAGGTATGATTCCTCTTCTTCTCTCCCCAGCTATGGGTAAATAGCAGGACAAACCGGCTTTGGATGGCAACTGGTCTACTGCAGAAAGAAATAGCAAATTACTACGGGAAAAAATCTCCATCATCAGTCATGTATCGAATGATACATGATCGCCTAAGCGTGTATCGCGCATAACTGATTTTTTTTTGTTCTTCTGACCCATGTTTATATATAATTATTTATAAAGGTTGAATTTCTGACCCCGTTTTCGTTACTACGTTGCCTGCTGAACTGTACTAATACCCTTGGGAAAGGTATGAATCCTCTTCTTCTCCCCCACCCAGCTAAATAGCAAGTCAGAGCTGGATCTATAGCTTTGGATGGCAACTAGTCTACTGCAGAAAGAAATGGCAACTTACCGTGGGAAAAAAAAAACTGCCTCGTTAGTCATGTATCGAAAGATACATGATCACCTAAGCGTGTATTACGCATGGCACATAACTGACTGATCTGACGGGTTGTTTAGAGACGACAGTTCCTTGACAAGTTAAGTGAGCTCAGGATTAATATTTATGGGGTGATCAAAATTAGATTAACCTTAATTCCACTAACAGAATTTAAAAGAAAACCTCTAACAATCTCAAAATGAATGAGTTCAACGCCCGAACGAATTAAGTGTTAATGAGAGCGATAAATTTCTTTCTTTCTTTCTTTCTTTCTTTCTTTCTTTCTTTCTTTCTTTCTATCAATCTCAGTATGTTCACATCTATCTCACTCTTTTCTTATCTATCTCTCTATCTATCTATTTCAGTATGTCCACATCTATCTCTCTATTTCTGTTACTTTCTCTCTCTCTCTCTCTCTCTCTCTCTCTCTCGCCCTTATCTTTCTTTGCTCATTTTTATATATCTATCTATCTACCTATCTATTTCAGTATGTTCACATCTATCTCTTTATTTCTGTTACTCTCTCTCTCTCGCCCTTATCTTCCTTTGCTCATTTCTATCTATCTATCTATCTATCTATCTATCTATCTATCTATCTATCTATCTATCTATCTATCTATCTCAGTCCATACCTATCTATCTATCTATCTATCTATCTATCTATCTATCTATCTATCTATCTCAGTGTGTTCGCATCTATCTCACTCTTTTCACATCTCTCTATCTCTCTCACTCTATCTATCTATCTCAGTATGTATACATCTATCTCACTCTTATCATATTATTTTTTATTGATATCTATCTATCTATCTATCTATCTATCTATCTATCTATCTCAGTGTGTTCGCATCTATCTCACTCTTTTCACATCTCTCTCTCTCTCTCTATCTATCTATCTATCTATCTATCTATCTATCTATCTCAGTATGTATACATCTATCTCACTCTTATCATATCTATCTATCTATCTATCTATCTATCTATCTATCTATCTATCTATCTATCTCAGTATATTCACATCTATCCACTTGCGAATTTCTGAAGCGATTGCATCTACAGATGTTTTGGTTGCCGATTTCGTATTTTATTTTTTAGACGTCCCAGCAACGAAATCAAGGAAGCAAAATCTGTGGATATCTTGAATTGGTTGTTTATTCTTTTGTAGGGATCTATGCGTCCATCCCATAGCAGCATATGTAAGAAATACCTATGATAATGTCAAAAATATTATAGAACTATGCTCGAACCATAAAATTATTGGTAAATCCGGCAATGTCTTACATGCGACTTTTTTTCTTTCTTTTTAGCTAGTATCTCACAGAATGGAAGAAAAATTATTTTCTTTCTCTTGTGAACTCATGTTGTTGGCAGCTGACAACAATAAAAATCAATCAGCTAGCAATTTTTATCGGTTGCCTATTGTAATTTGATCTTTATGATCTACAGTAAAACAAAAAATTACGCTTAAAAGGAAGAGCCCGAAATGCGATTTACAGGTCGGAGACACTTAAATCAAGCAGGTGCGGAAATTTAAATATCTGGGAAGTGTTTTGACAGAGGACGGCAAGTGCGACGCTGAGATCCGAAGACGTATTGGGATGGCCAAAGACGCATTCCAAAAGCCAGACAGAGTATTACAAGACAGGAGGATTTTATTTGGTAACAAAGAAAAGAGTACTAAGCTGCTATGTGACATCTATTCTTCTTTACAGCAGAGAATGTTGGACGGTCTCCTCAAAGATGAAGAAGAGGCAACGGAGGTATGGTTCTATAGAAGGATGCTAATGATATGATGGGCCAAACATGTGAGCAACGATGAGGTCTTGGGGAGGATTCAAAAAAAGAGGAAGGTTATACTTAACATCCGGAAGAGGCAGCTGAAATTGCTGGGATACGTAATGAGAAAAGAAGGCTTGGAGACTCTGACACTCACATGTCGAACAGAGGGAAAGAGAGACAAGGGAAAGTAACGCATGACATACCTAGCGGGCTTAAGAAATTGGATGACAGATCAGGACCTGGGGAAGTAGCAACTTATTGAGAGCTACAAGGGATAGTGGGAAATGGAGAGGCATGATCGGTTTCGTCCTGAAAGGACATGACACATAAAAAGAAAAGGTGGTTTCAATAAAAGTACTTTAAAATATTGTTGAAACTTGACTAATGCATGGAATAATAATACAACACAAAATGTACTTAGAACAAAATGTATTGAAACAAGAAAGTGTACACAATATTTATATATAGTCTTTTGTATATTCCTGGGAAGACCGTTCCTGGAGAATGTGTTGACTTAGTCGCAGTTGGGCAGAGTCTCTGGATTGAATCTCTTAATTCCTCCACTTCTCTTCCCGGTACCAACCATATTTATATGGTCGGTACTCCACTATGCAAATTAGGTGGGGTACCAACCATATTTATATGGTCGGTACTCCACTATGCAAATTAGGTGGATCCTACCACAACAAATATTTTTATGGTTATTTCTCTTAAGTTGTAATTTTTTCAGTTATTCTGCATCGTCTTGAACTATTTACTAAAATATACAGAATGTTGGATTTGGTTTTCTCATTGAAAGCTGCTTATTTTTAATCCAAAATGGCGATTGTCTCTTTAAAAATGAAAAAAAAAAAATGAAATATCAAGGAAGATTTTCTTTTGTGCAGATTGTTTTAATCAAAGGGAAACACTTGCAGTAATTCGTTACATTGAGTATTTGATGCGACAAGAAAAGAAAAATTCCCATAGTTACTGTTTTTAAATATCAAATATTATTATCATGAGGCTATTGTCATATCTGCTGTCGAAATGATGTGGCAAACGCGCGAGCGCGCACCCTCCTCCACACACACGGACACATTGATTATATTGATAAAGACGCAGTCCGAATGAAAACCTTCAGACATTGAGCCGATTTTAAATGTTGTCAGAAATAATGGCGCCAAAATGCGTCACGTGACACCTGAAGACGAAAAATGACGTAATTACATGATGGAAATAATACCGTGTCGAAAACGTGACGCGGAGTGTGAGCAGGAGGTGGAGGGGGGGCATATGTTATCATAAGAAATTATATGTGTTTTGGAAATTGCCTAAAACCTCTACAGACATAAAAAATATGAAATGGGTTGGCTCCAAGCTGAGGCGCACAGGGTTTTCATAGATCTTTTACTGACATGTTTCTTACTGAGAGATGGAAAGTGCCCCTCCTCCAAAAATACAAACAAATCGTAGCTGTATGTTTTCGTTTTTTCGCGTTGTCTTATTTTGTAAGTGCATGTGCATTCAAATATACACGTGTGTCTACTCACACATATATGTATACACATAAGAAAAATATCAAAACAATTTTTTTCTTATATATATATATATATATATATATATATATATATATATATATATATATATATATGTGTGTGTGTGTGTGCGTGTGTGTTCATTCATACACATAGATAAATACACAGACCTACTCACGCATACACACACATATATTTATTTCAGTCTGTTCACATTTATCTATTTCTATTACCCCTCTCCCCTCCCTCGCCCTTATCATTTCTATTTGGTCATTATCTATCTATCTATCTATCTATTCACATCTATCTATCTATCTATCTATGTTCACATCAGAGTTTTAATGATATCATTTATCTATCTATCTATCTATCTATCTATCTATCTATCTATCTATCTATCTATCTATCTATCTATCTATTCATCTCAGAGTTTTAATTGATATCTATCTATTTATCTAGTTTTAATTGATATCTATCTATCTATCCATCTATCTATCTATCTATCCATCCATCTATCATCTATCTAAGTATGTTCACATCTATCTATCCATCTATCTATCTATCTATCATATCTATCTATCTATCTATGTTCATGTCTCAGAGTTTTTTGATATTATCTATCTATCTATCTATCTATCTATCTATCTATATCTATCTATCTATCTATCTAAGTATGTTCATCATCTATCTATCTATCTATCTATCCATCTATCTATCTATCTATGTTCATATCTCAGAGTTTTAATTGATATCTATCTATCTATCTATCTATCTATCTATCTATCTATCTATCTATCTATCTATCTATTCATGTATCACATCTATCTATCTATCTATCATCTATTATGTTCACGTCTATGATATCTATCTATCTATCTATCTATCTATGTTCATATCTCAGAGTTTTAATTGATATCTATCTATCTATCTATCTATCTATCTATCTATCTATCTATCTATCTATCTATCTAAGTATGTTCACATCTATCTATCTATCTATCTATCTATCTATCTATCTATCTATCTATCTATCTATGTTCACGTCTCAGAGTTTTAATTGATATCTATCTATCTATCTATCTATCTATCTATCTATCTATCTATGTTCATGTCTCAGAGTTTTAATATGATATCTATCTATCTATCTATCTATCTATCTATCTATCTATCTATCTATCTATCTTATCTATCTATGTTCATCTATCTATCTATCTATCTATATATCTATTTAATTGATATCTATCTATCTATATCTATCTATCATATCTATCTATCTATCTATCTATCTATCTATCATATCTCTGAGTTTTAATTGATATCTATCTATCTATCTATCTATCTATCTATCTATCTATCTATGTTCATGTCTCAGAGTTTTCATTGATATCTATCTATCTATCTATCTATCTATCTATCTATCTATCTATCTAAGTATGTTCACATCTATCTATCTATCTATCTATCTATGTTCATGTCTCAGAGTTTTCATTGATATCTATCTATCTATCTATCTATCTATCTATCTATCTATCTATCTATCTATCTAAGTATGTTCACATCTATCTATCTATCTATCTATCTATCTATCTATCTATCTATCTATCTATCTATCCCAATTTATTCGCTTATATGCCTGATTAATTAGATAAATATTTTTCTGATTTTTTGTTACAGATTTTTTGTTTTTTGTATTTTTAAATAGGAAATCCCTCAAAATGCAAACATAAACTAGCCATGCTTAGTGTTTCTTGTCTGTGAATATAAGTTTGATTATGCACAAACAGGCTTTGAAACGATTCCATATTTCCGACCATGAAACAGCCTATACACACATGTACACAAACGCACATGCACACATACATACTGGCACACTCACATATTTTTTATATTTGCGATATTTATAAGGGATGAATGATTAATATCGGACATAGAGTGTTTATTAGAGACAATGTGGCCATAGAAATCATGGTGATTGTCATTCACACCACCGTATGATTTTGGTCAGCAAATCGCATTGAAGCATACAGTCTTGATTCCTATGTTCACACTATCACATCTCTCTCTCTCTCTCTCTCTTTCTATATATATATATATATATATATGATAATCCTAAGAAGCCAGGCAAACCTACCTAGGTTTCACCTAAACGGGTCTTCAGGATATGTAGATTTGCCTGACTCCTTAGGATTATCTTAGGTTTTGCTCTACTTAGTGTATTGAGCACTTTACGCCGTTGTCTTTTTACTCGTTTTTTTTTTTTTTTTTCTTTGGACTTGGAGCTTAAACACTGGACGATTGTTTTCGCCTTGTTTTAATGTTCTTGGTTCTTTCTTTTTTTTTATTCCCCATTTTTCCTTGGGTATCGATTTGTTCTACTGCAAGTCGAGCTATCCGAGGTTTTTCCAAACGAGTACCACCATTTATATATATATATATATATATATATATATATATATATATATATATAACAGTAAGATATATAATCCGGTGTTCTTATTGATATTTTTTATTTTTAAAAAACAGTGCTCAATGTAAATTTACAGAGCATAAATATTATAAATTAACTGATTTCAAATATGGTTTCTTTTCTACACAGTAATAACCATGTTTCAAAAGCTGAAGCTAAAAAAGTTCAAATTTAATTATAAAATTAAATGAAAAGCATTAGTTCTGTTTCATCTCCAAGCGAATTTTGGAATAATTTATTCTTATATTTACTGAGTTTTAAACGCACATATAAATTCATAATTTCCTGTTTCCAAGGATACAGAGAAATCCAATCATTTAGACAGGGGCGGTAGCGTGTTCTTTTTTATTAACTATTGTTGTATCAATTATGAGTTACGTTCTATTAACTATCGTTGTATCAATTATGAGTTATGTTCAAAAAAGAGGCTAAGTTTAGAGAGGGTAGGAGCGTATTTTTCAACAAATTCTGACATCCGTTAAACGCATGTTGTCTTTTGTTTTTTTACAGTAAATTTAAAAATAAGTTATTCCAAAATTCGCTTGATGATGAAACAGAAGTAATGCTTTTAATTCGATTATATAATTAAATTTGATGGTTTTAGCTTCAGTTTTTGAAACATGGTTATTACTGTGTAGCGAAGAAACCACATTTTAAATCAGTTAATTTATAATATATGTATGTATATATATATAGTAGAGTAGATAAGTTGGTCAATAAAACAAAGTCAAACGAAAGGGTACCGATTAAATCGGTACGACAAAACATTTATTAATATTAACCAGGTGACAAAAATGAATGTAATGTCAAGTGGAAACTTGGAAACGAACTTTCTGAAATTATGTTTTATGTTCCACGGACTTTCGACCATCGTACGGTAGCAAGTTAAGAAATACTCAGTATAGTGTTTGTCTTGTTAACTGTTTAAAGTTTGAAACGAACGGGAATTCACAAAATATAACTATGAAATAACTTTCTTGAGACACGTGACAAACATTTATTTTACAATTTAATGACATTTTAATGCATGAGGTTCTAGAGTGAAACATTTTTATTGCTAGTTGGTTGATTTCTTTTATTGTGTGGGTGTATGTATGTGTGTGTGTGGACACTGAGGTCAACACCAAACCATGTGTGTATTTTTTGGCTCGACTATTTATATATATTTGCTAATGGTGCATTATGTGTAGCAAAGTCTATTGTATTATCCAGTCGCTTATTGGGTGGGCCTTAATGGTTATATTTCAAATTATTCCAGAGGCAATTGAGTAAAAATAAATATGGTCCGAATTCGATTATTTTATAGTATTATTTGTTAACTTTTTACTCATTATATTATGAGTGCCTGGATTGAAACATTTGTTATTGGTAGGTGATTGATTTCTTTTACTGTAACGGGCAACCAAGATTTTTAATTTTGGAGGTTGGAGTAGCAAAGAACCGTTCTATAGTCGACAAAAATCTGAAAGACATTAGAAGTAGCACTATGGTTTTATTTTATATGTTTATATATTGCCTTTTGCTCAAAGAGATGACAGGTCATTTTTTTTAGAGAAATGTTGTACTGTAAACAATTAAATCCCAGAAAATAATTACCAACTTGGATATCTTCAGGGTAATATAAAATTTCATAAACCCGGTTCGCCTCTACGTCTAATTATAATGCTCACACTTATTACAGCAATTACCGAAAACATTGGACCAATAAATCGCACCCTAGTTACCTCGAAAAGATAACAAACTTTATTCATCAATTAATGTATATTCTGAGTCTGTCTATATTTCTGAGATGAGGTATTATGTACAGTATTTACATTAGTCGGACTATTGTCCTCATCTTTATCGCCATATTTGTCACAACGTTTCGGCCGTTGTACGCTCCGGCCTTCTTCAGGTAGTTGGAATTTCGAACTGAACCCTTTATTTCGATCACTGGGGTAGACTGTTCTAGTTCCACGTGCCATGTTTGATGGATGTCAGTTATCAGTTATCTCCTGCTAATTTTCCCTCTGAAAGTTCTCCACTGCCTTAACCAGGTATTGAACTCACCTTATTTGGGTCCTGTCACTGGATCTAACCAACACCTTTATCCACTGTGCCATGTGTCCTTGGCGACAAAGATGAGGACAATAGTCCGACTAATGTAAATACTGTAATGTATATTCTGTACTCAACTGAAATAAATGATCAAATTCTAGCTTTACGTGAGAATGAAAACATATTTACCAATTTTACTGCCAATGATTCCATTGCTATTATTTTACAAAATATCTATAATCATCCTATTTCTTTCTCTACTCTACTTGAACTCAACAGTCTACGAAAATCTCTGCAAGCAAACACTACACAAGTTCCCTTCTATAATAATGTAGGAAATATACAAATTAACGACGTAACTACAGGATCCTCACAAGAGTTTCTTTCTCATCACACTATCTGACACACCTTGAATATAATTCTTTTTAACGTGAAAGAGAAATTCTCTATGTATAATACATCGATGATATGCTTTCTTGCAATAGATCTTGATCAAACTAAAAAAATAAAGTAAAGCATTAAAAGTAATTCCGTACTCAGCTTTGCGCATGAATTAAATGATAATAAAAGAAATAGCTTTTCTCGATGTCATTATAAGTTTTAATGATCAGAACTTTAATTAAATCTACGAAAAAAACTATCAGTTTTAACTCTCGTATCCTTAACTATCAAAGCAAATGCTCCTATCGATAGAAAACAAGTTATAGAAACTTTATTAACTCTGCAAAATTAATCTCTTCTAAAAAGATTTTCCCTAAAGAATTATCCAATATTAAGATAAAAAAGTAAAAGAAACTTGGCTTTGCAATCACATCATGAATGAACAAATCAAATTATTTTTACAGACAATTAATCATGGCGGGAAGCTGACGGAATCATTCTCCGTGAAAACTTGCATTCGTCAGGGTTGTCTGCTGTCGCTGACGATCTTCCTGC